CAGGTTTTGTTTTCCCCTGCTGATGGGAGCCGGAGTTGAAGGTTGGGTGTCTCTTGTTTTCTCCGCATCTTTATGCAGGCTTGCTCTGATAATCTCTCCCCCGGAGAGCCTAGGAGAGATTTTATGCGAATTCCCCGCTGTATGGGAAATGAGCTGAGTAACATGCACCTGTTTTACTGTTGCAATCTGTTGGAGAGTGGCGGTGGTTACTTCAGCTCTCCAAGATGGTGGCCGCTTGTTTCCTTGGTGGAGTTTCCATTGTGGGGGATAGAACTGTCCCATTTCCTTCCCCGTCTGAAATCCCGAACTCAGCCCGGGGTTCCGTGAGTGTTCAGGCGGCAGGATTCCACAGAATCTGCAGCAATCTCCCTGCTTGCTGGTTGCTTCTCGGCGGCTCCCAGCCATCTGTTGGATCAGTGCTTTTTGAACCAGTCAGGCATGGCCCCTTCCACCACAGCTCTGATCTTGAAGAACTTTTTGATGTTCCCACAATGACAAAATCACCTAATAATGCCTTCTTATTATTTTTGTAGGAAAAAATATTAATGGAGTATGGCTAATCTACCATCTGGAATAGAAAATCTGTTATTCCCCTTTTAGAAAACATTGAGCCGTATAAAATATTAATGGTATTTGTATATGATGTGTTATAATCCCAAATCTGATTCTTAAAGAATGAAAAAATAGAGAATTTATTAATCTTTGTTGTAGGGTATTTTCGTTTTTTTTTTCTATAATGGTATCAGTACAAATTTAATAGTTCAGAACAATATATATTTATTGTTTCTGTGGTTTTTGAGTATGGGCTTGGTTAGTTGGAACTTTTATAAATCTGCGCTGAAGGTATTGGTTAGGGTTGGCTTCTCATCTGGGGCTCTAGTGGGGAAAGATCTGTTTGTAAGTTCATGTGATTGCTAACTTCCTCAGTTACTATTCATTGTTGGACTGAGGGACTCAATCAGAGGCCTCCCCTCATTACTTGCTTGTGGCCTTCTCCATAGGCCAGTTTACAAAGTGTAGCAGTGTATATTTTCAAAGCTAGAAGGGAACGAGACCCCTAGCAAGATGGGCATTACAATTTTTCTTAATCACATGTAGTCAGTCATTTTTGTCATATTCTATTGGATACAAGTCAGTCACAGGTCACATTCCCACTCAAGGAGAAGGAATTACAAAATGATGTGAATATGGGATGGGGGTGGTAACCAGGGGACCACTGTAGAGTCTGCCACAAAGAGTATACATCTGATTTTAAGAATGTAATGGAATGAGTTACATGTTTTCTTTCTTTTGAGGCTCTCACTTAAAAGCTGTATGTGTTCTGTACTAAGATAATAAATTTGTTGATATAGTCACATATTGAAATCATTAAGACAGGTGATGATGATGTTTATGTTGTGTTAACCAGTGTTGGTAATCAGACTTAAGTAGTTTTAATTTGTTAATATTATTTATAAGTATTTTGTGAATTAGATTTTAGACATTTCTTTTTTCCCTCCCCTTTTTTAGTTGACTATATTGTGGAGTATGATTATGATGCTGTGCATGATGATGAATTAACTATTCGAGTTGGGGAAATCATCAGAAATGTGAAAAAACTACAGGAGGAAGGATGGCTAGAAGGAGAACTAAATGGGAGAAGAGGAATGTTTCCTGATAATTTTGTTAAGGTAAGTATTTTCAGTTAAATTTCAAGCTGTTACTTCATAGAATTTTATTTTCAATGTTAAATACTTAAAATAATACCTAAAATGAAAATGTTTTCAATCAATTTTTACTGTAGAATTTAAGAAAATAGAGGTTTAGATACTTCTATAATGAATTTTATTATTTCTTTAGTGACCTGCTGGATAATAACACTGTATATATGTGTGTTTATGTGCTTCTATATGTTTGTAGGTTTGTGTATACTTGTGTTAGTCAGCTTTATTTCACTGTGACAAAATACCTGAGAAAATCAACTTAAAGGAGGAAAGATTTATTTTAGCTCATGGTTTGAGAGGTTTCAGTTTATGGTTGGTTGACTCCATTGCTTTTTAGGTCTTTATTGAGGCAGAGCATCATGGTAGGCAGTATGCAGTGGAGCAGAGCTGCTCAGCTCATGGTGGCCAGGAAGCAGTCAGAAGAAGGAGTGGGGACAAACTATAACCCTCCAAGAGCATGACCCCAGTAATCTACTTTATTCAGCTAGTCCCCATCTCCTAAAGTTTCTGCCACCTCCCAATAGCCTATTAAAAAACTGTGAATTCATCAATGTATTAATTTATTGATGAGGTTAGAGTCTTTTTGATCTATTCATGTCCACAGGCCCGACCTGTGAACATTGCTGCATTGGGGAACCAAGCTTGGAGCACATGAGCTTTTGGAGAACATTTCAGATCCAAATTGTAACACTGTGTTTTTAAAAAATAAATAATAATTTGTATCTGGGTGGTATTTTGTAATTTATTAAGTAGCTTTGCTATACACATTCTCATTTAGCCTATAATAGTCTTGTGATGTAGGGAAGATAATAATCTCATTTTAAATATGGTTACATTCAGAATGAAAGTTAAATGATTTGTCTACTGTTGGATAGCTAATGACATCCAGCATCTTAACAACAACAATACAACAACAACAACAAAATAAATAAGATTAAGGAGAAAGCTTTAAATTATAATTTACTACCCACTTTAAACTTTCCTAAATGCATGTGTTATTTTATAAATATATAATTGTGGAATGGACAGTAGAACTAGTCTCCCTATTATTATTTCAGGTAGTTTTACTGAAGAATAGTGATAGTCATATTTGACTTAGAAGATGAATGGAAAGGTCAAATCATTTTTGTGGCCTATTGTGAAAAATTTTAAATACTATAAATTTGTTTTGTGCTGGGTACAGTAGCATACAGCTGTAATCCCAGCAGCTTGGAGGGTAAGGCAGGAGGATCACAAATTCACAGCCAGCCTCAGCAATGGTGAGGTGCTGGGCAATTCAGTGAGACCCTGTCTCTAAATCAAATACAAAATAGGGCTGGGGATGTGGCTCAGTTGATTGAGTGCCCCTGAGTTCAATTCCCAGTACCCTTCATCCCCACCTCAAAATTTTGTTTTATGATGAACATGTCCAATTCATTGCCCTTTTGCAATGTTAGTTTTTCTTCTAATTTTAAAGGTATTTCACAATAAGTATAGGACAAGGATCCATGAACTTAATGTATGGAATATTATTATTTTTGTCATTTTTGCTTCAGTGTTACTTTGTAATAAAGAGAACATTACAGATAAAGTTGATTTCTCATTATTTTCCTCTTTAGAAACACCTGTATTCTGAAATTGTTTTATATATCCATGCAGTTTATGGTTTTATACCTATTTGCCTGTGCACAAACAATATTTTATGTGATTTATATATTTATGTAATTATTGTTGATGTGCAACTTTTCTTAATATTTGTGGTTTTGATATGGATATGTAATATAATTATTTCTACTACAGTGGGTTTTATATCACTAGTTAGCTCATAGTGATTAGTAGAGCATGATAGGATAGGGAAAAGTGGCGTTAAAATAATTTCTAAGTAAGAAGAACAGTAATAAAGATTGTAGAATTCAGATTTTATCAAGAAAAGGCAAGATTCTCAGCTTGGGTGCTTGGGGATCATTAAGCATAACCCACCCATCCAGCCTATTTGTCTGCCTTTCTTATCATATCTTTCTAAGTGATCATTGTACCTGGGCATTTTCTTCAAAGTTACACAGTCTTGGCATTGTGAAACTTTTAAATCTTGCCACTCACCTCTGCTCTTCTCTACATTGAGTGTTCACAAGCTAACCTTCCCACTTAATGGATTTTTTGCTCCTGAATAATCCTTTATGTATGACTACTTGAGCAGTCTAAGTTATTGTCCATCTTCTGAGTTTCAATTATTGTTACTTATTACATTTTTAGTGCTGAGGTTCCAAAGTTCTATAATTTGCCCAAAGTCACACTGGTAAGTACTTAGTACTTAGCTTTATTATAGGCAAATGTCAGATTTTTTTTAAAGATGAGAAATGTATTTTTGCTATTTGCTGGTTATTAGAGAAATATGATCATTTTGTAATATCCTTTATGCTTTTGCAGTTGTAAGGACAAAGTGATATGAAATTCTTCAGTAGCACCAATATAGTTGAAAAATATTAAAATTCCAAATTTAAATTTCTTTCAGAAAGGCACATAACGTAAGGAGATATCGAAGACTAAAGATGGAATAGAAATATGTGAAAAAAAGTCAAAATAATAATATAAGTACAAAAAGAATCAGGGTTTGAACTGCACAGTTATTTGTAGATAACTTTGTAGAATGTTTCATTTATGGCCTTCTACTAACCCCACTCCTAGAAATTCTCCTCAAAAACAAGTTTTTATTATACAAGTTGAGGAAATTAGAATCAGAATAGGTGATTGTATATTGTGATACTAAAATTAGTGCCTCATGTGGAATAATAATATAAATGACAGTGATGGAATAATAGAATGAGAGTATGATCTTTTCATGCTGTTTTTTGTGATATAGCTAGCCAAAACTCTGGGCAGCTTTTCATGTGTTAGCACAACCTCCTGGAGCTACTTCAGTCTTGTGGCAATTTCTTACCAAGTTGTACTTCTTTGATAAAGTAGGGCAAGATAGCATGAAGAATTAGATTCCAATTTTAAGTGCTTCCCTGTGGAAGTGGTATATTACTTTTCTTTGTATTTCATTGGCTGGAGCAATGGTATAGTCTTTGATCTTGTGTTCCATCAAGAGGGGCAAGAAAATATGATCTTATTATGTGTCCAGAATGACAGTAGAATTAGAAACACTAGGTGAGCACTAGTAATGTCTACTGTACCAGATACATGCATTAATTGATATTCATGAAGTCTTCAACATTAGTGCTATGTAATAAAGTTGATGTTTTCTTTATTTTATTGCCTCAGGTTAAGAGAATATCTTAGAATGTTTAGAATAAGGTAGTGATATTGGAACAAAAAGTGTTTATATATAGAAAAGAGTGTTAATATAGAGAAGATACCAATAATCTGATTTAAAAAATAGACATTTCTCAAAAGAAGTCATAACAGATAGCCAGAGCTATTTGAAAAAAATGCTCAGTATCACTAATCAGCACAGATATACAAATCAAGGCTGTTATCAATAAGACCAAGATAACAAGTGATGGCAAGAATGTAGGTGGGAGTATAAATTTCTATAGCCAAACAATATGGAGATTACTCAAAAAGTTAAAAATAGAACTACTAGCAATCCCACCACTGGATATGTATCCAGAAGATGTAAAGTTAGTATGTTAAAGAGACATCCACATTCCCTTTCTCCCTCCCTCCCCCCCCCCTTCTCTTTCTCTTTCTCTCTCTGTTCTTGAGATTGAATCCAGGGGCACTTAACTACTGAACCACATCCCTAGTTCTTTTTTATATAAAATTTTAGAGACAAGAGTCTCACTGAATTGCTTAGGTCCTCACTAAGATGCTGAGGATGACTTTGAACTTCTGCCTCATTCTCCTGAGCTGCTGAGGTTATAGGCCTGCGCCACTATACCTGGCACATTCCCGTTTTCATTAGAGCATTTTTCAACATAGCCAAGAAATGGAGACAACCTTAGTATCCATCAACTGACAAATGAAGGAAGTGTGGTGTCTATGCTCAATGGATTATTATTTAGCTACAAAAAAGAATGAAATGCTATCATTTGTGACAACATGGATAGAATTATAGATTACTATATAAATTAGAGTAAGCCAGGTACTTAATAAGTACTGTATGATCTCACTTATATGTGAAATCTAAAAATGTTGATCTCCTAGAAGTTGAGAATATAATATAATATAATAGAATATAATATTTTTAAGTTTTATATTTTTAATTTTAATTATTTTTAATGTCTAGAGTTTTTAACTATACTTAGTGGAAGGAATAGGGTAAAGTACATCTCTAGTTTTTCATAAGAGGAAATCTTTTTTCTTTTTTTTTTGTACTAGGGAATGAACCTAGAGAATCTCATCCCACTCCTTTTATTTTTCTATTTTGAGACAGGGTCTTACTAAGTTGCTGAGGCTCCCTCCTGCCTCTTGAGTTGCTAGGATTACAGGCAGGTGCCACCATGCCTGGCAACATAGAAGGTTTAATATAACCTAACCGAGCAATTGGGTGGTTGGAGGCATTTAATAAATGTTTGTGGATTCTGTTAACTGATGAGTTTCATATAAAGGAGTACATAGTCATGTAAGGAGGTTGGGGAGGAACAATATTTTAAGGAGGTTGGGGAGGAACAATACTTTAGAAGGTGCATTTAGTAGTTAAATTTACAATTATTGAAGCATAAAAATATATAGAGAAAGAAGAAAAATGTCAGTGAAATAAGATATTAAAAGAGAAGGTTAACAATATTTTTTGATTTTTTTTAAAAAAAATTTTTAGTTATACATGGACACAATAACTTTATTTTGTTCATTTATTTTATGTGGTGCTGAGGATTGAACCCAGTGTCACACATGTGCGAGGCAAGTGCTCTGCCACTGAGCCACAACCAATGGCAGCCCTAACAGAGTCTTTATATACTTAAAGAATATTAAGAGAGTATTTGTGGATTTTTTTTTTTTTTTTGGTACCAGGGATTAAACTCAGGGGTACTTAACCACTAAGC